AGCGATTACGAAATTCCCAAATATATGCCTTAAAGCAAACCTAAAACCTATAAAAAAAACAACAAATTTGCCATATTTTTCTTTTTTCACGAGTACACATTCTAGGCTATATTTATACGTATATTAGACATTATTTGAATACAGCTGATTATTGCATTTCAAGGAGTGACACATGTGTGTGATGTGTCAACTCTTGGTACCAGTCACAAAACATATACTCTCATATATTCAATGACAACACGGTGTTTTGTGTTTGTCAGCGGCCATTCTGTGAGGGTGCGACAGGGTTGCCAGATTGTGCATTAATATCCCGTTACACCCTCCTGGTCCCAGTGGAGTAAGTTTCGCCAACTGTTGAAATATACTCTACTATGCTTTATAAGACTATTCGTTACATTTTTCCCAAAATCAGTGCACAACACTTGAAAAAATGCAAATGAAAATTTAAAATTATTTCCATGACGCCGCAAAATAGCTCCTTGGGTACCTTGGGTTATACATCTTGACAGTAGGGATGTTCGATAGGATCCTATATTTAGAATTATCAATACATTTCACGAGTATCGTCATCTTTCGATCCGGACTGTGTCAGAAAGAGTGACTGCCATTGGCTGCGACACTACCCTGCTAAATCAGACATATCTTTCATCATTTTCAAAGAAATTGTACAAAATCTTCAAATTTGTGAAGTTAGCGAGTTTCACTTCATACGTTCTTACCAGACATGCCCAAATCATCAGTTGCTGCCATGATATTCATCCCGACCACTGCATCCCCACGGCTAGGCGACCTGTATGTTAAATTTGTATTGATAGGGCAGCGGGTTATGCTATAAATCATTTGTCACAGTGTTTGTGCACTGATTGCAACGGTTAGATGATACCAAAAATATTTTCATAAATAGGAGATCTTTCCCAGTCCGGATCGAAAAATCTACAAAAGATGCTTATAATCATGATACCTAGTAAATTTTCAAGAAAAAAATTCAAAACCAGCAAATGTAAAAGATACATTCCGCACCCTCCACCACGGGACGTGATCGTCATTAGACTTGTAACCCTGCGAGTGACAGATAGATATCCCCGCCAGTCAAAAAGAAAAACATTACTATTTTTTATGGTTTTTTGGACTTAAGAGACATTATTTGTTAAACATTTTTCATAATATTTTGTCGATGTCCATAGGAGTTGCATTATGTATCAGGGAGATGTTCACATATTATCTGTGTTTTAGGATGGAGAGGACATAATGTTTTTATTGCTTCGAAGAAATTCATTAACCCATAAATTAATAAACGATTATCATTATGACGTAAAGGAAGATGAGGAATTGGATGGAATGTATTTTATATTCTATTTTCTTGCAAAATACAGACAAATCCACACTATTCAACAGGTATGTAATGATAACTTTCAGTATATCGAAGTTGGTAGATTCGAGAGTGCCATGCATTAACAAACGTCCAAATCTGCTGCCAAATTTAACAGCTAGAAAATCGACCCATTATTTGCTGCATACCCATTCGCTGAAGGGGATAACGGATTGTTAAATGTAAACCTATGACATATATCAAAATACATGAAAGTTTTCCTGTTTTTTCTGTACAAAAGCATCATCTTGGAATCAAAAAGTGGTCTTGTTTATAATACAGTCGAATTTTCACGATTTTATTCAATATTTCAATAGAGTTCACTAATAATCAGAGAGCTTTGACAGCTTCTGTCAAATTGGATTTCGGTATTTTGCCATTGGTCCATAATACTAATGTTGGAGAAATCGGCCCTTAGTGTTTTATATCGACCACAATCACGACAATCTTACTAATTTTTATAATCTAAAAGGTTTTTAAATTGGGTAAATAACAAATAAATGGCATTAGATTTTCTAAGTTAAACCAAAGTTTGTAGTCAGTAAGTAAGTCAATTTCATTAAATCGAATATTCAAAACACACATGACAACAGGTCTTTCATCACTCATATCGAACCGGCAATCGATCGCAAACGGTAAAAGTGGTTAGTTATGTATGTATGTTCTCGAATCAAGAGTTCTCCGACATGTTAGTTTACGGTGAAGCTCGTCAGAATTCAAGTCTTGCAGCTCAAATTTATCTCGACAGATTTCACCAACGGGTACACCCGGGCAGAAGGACGTTTGTGCAAGTGTACCAAAGACGTCGAGATACAGGAAGTGTTCAGCCCACAAATTTTAAATATCGTGGAAATCAATGCAGATATCAGCACTCGGGAATTAGACTGCCGCGTAGGACTATCACATAGCATATTCCATAGAATCCTACGGGAGAATTTGCTTTATCCCTACAATGTAAACGAGTGCAGGTCTTATTACCAGAAGACCATCCTCGCAGACTAACATTCTGTCAGTGGTTTTTGCACAAAAACATTGAACATCCGGATTTTTAAAAAACATTCTAGCGACAGACGAATGTACTTTTACGCGAGACGGGATATTAAATTTCCATAATACTTACACGTGGGCCCAAGAAAATCCTCATACCATTCGTGAAGGTCATTTCCAACAACGTTTTGAAATAAATATTTGGGCGGGTATTCTTGACGATCTGGTAATTGGCCCTTTCGAGTTACCCCCAAAGTTATCAGGAGAAGGATACCTTAGCTTTCTAGCCGATAACTTACCAGGACTTTTGGAACAGACCTAAGACAACATACCATTACAACGAAGACAGAACATGTGGTATCTTCATGACGGGGCACCACTACACATTTTTAGGGGCGTCATTCAGTATTTGAATGATCATTATCCAAATCGCTGGATCGGTCGAAATGCTCCTGATCCTCGAAAATGGCTTCCTCGTGACCTCAATCCGATGGATTTCTGGTATTGGGGAGAACTTAAAGGGATGGTTTAGGGAGCTGGTCGAATAACAACTGAAGCGCAACGCGAAAAAATGTTTAATGAGGCTGAAATAATAAACGGACAACTTCGAGGACCTAGAGTAAGAAGAAGCTGGGTTCGTCGTAATGAAGCTTGTGTGGAAAGTGGAGGACGATATTTTGAACACAAATACAAAAAAGTGCAGTGTGGGTTTTAAAGAGAAAAACAGTGTATCAAAGTTGTATTCCCTTTTTATAAGTGGATTTTTTTAATATGTTCAATAAATTTTCACACACCAGGTGAAGCGTTGAGACAGTTAGTGGTAAGACCGTTTTTTAATTATTTGCATTTTACGAGTACATTATCTGATGAAATAATACCTAAAAGCCAAAAATAACAAACTCGATCTTTATTTACACTGCGTTCCGTCGTAATTTGCGTCTGGCATTGCAGCGTTGTCAGATTTTATTTTACTTTAAAGTAGCTTTTCTCTAAAAAAAGCCGTTTTGAGCCTCATGTTATATGAAACTTTTTGCTCCTTTTAACCCCCTCTATCACCCATTTAAATTATGACTATCAAAACGTTTTCACCCTGTATACACTGAGTCCTCAAAAGACATCGGTATATGTACGTATACATAGAAATACTGGTATCTCAGTGCTAGAAAATTGCTTTAATCCAGCGTAATACCCGTGTGTAGTTACGAGAGTGTCTACACTTTTTAGAGAAAATTTGCCATTCTTACTTTCCTAATAAACAGAGAGGAGAACAAAAAGGGGAAATGAAGAAACAGAGCAAGTTGTATTATTAAAAGAGATGCAGTTTACTTTTCTTGTGAAAACAAGCTGAAGCTAGCACAGTAATAAACGCTGTTTAAGCTTTAAAGCTAACAGGCTTGTATTTCTAATAGACTGTTGTAGGCCAGGGACATACCGTTGGGTATATCAAGCATATTCAAGAACTTGCAATCAATTGCTAGTGTGTTATAGGTAGGGTGACCATAATTTTTCATCAAAAAAAAAGTACATTTATAAATTTAAAGGAAATTCAGTACAATACTCTAGAAAATTTATCTGGTTAAAATTTTAAGAATCTTTAATCGAACAATAAGAGAATGTTTTTTTTTTTAATCAAACATAGGTACATAAATTATGTATATATATATTTAAAGCTAATTTTAAAAGCTAATTTTCTTTCGACGTTCCTGCCAGAAAATTTTGATCATCATTCTGGTACCAGTCGTACTTTTTGGAACCATGAATTTCCTTCAGAAGTTGTGTTTTACTCTTTAAGAACTGAAACATTTCATTGCACGAAACTTTGAAGTTTGTGTAGACTTGCATGATGGCTTCCAGAGTAGATATTTTCAGCTGCGATTTGTCGGGACTCCAATAGTTATTGATATTTGAGAACAACCTCTCAAGCGACGCACTGGTCCCAGGCAGACAAAAAACGAACTCGCATAGAATTTTGAGATTTTTCAAAGCACTTTCTTTTTGGAAGACTTCGAGCCATCGATCTTCGGTAGAAATATTTCTCGAATTCCAGTCTACGATTTTATCTTCTGTAACGTTGGTTCGTATTAAACTAACTTCATCGAACAGTTCGTCCTGATTCAATATCGGACCTATGTAGTCCTTGAAAGCCTCACACGACGACAAAATTTCAGCCCAAGAAACTTGTTTTTTCAAGTTAACCCATCCAAATAGCTTTAGTTCACTTAAATTTTCACTCCAGTTTTTCAAATATGTTACACAATTCGAATAGAACTGCTTGACATGCATGATGAAGATATCCCGATAGTTTACACTACGGTCAATGTCTCCCATATTCTCAAGTTTCGAAAGTGACTCTCTTACTTTAAGCGGTAAATATAACTCATTTAAACGATTTTGAAGCTTATTTATGAGTTCGAAATACTCCAAAGCGGCTTCTGTTGCGCATATTTTGTCACCTTCTACATCTAAAATCACTTTGTGGAAGAGAGACGCAATGTTATGCACAAACCACATCCATGCTTCACTGATTGGGTTTTGAAAAAACTGTTTTAGAACTGTTGGACAATTATCAATCGATAAAAAATATGCTTTCAAGGGTTCGAACATTTGTACAATTCGTTCAATGGCTGGCATTAGGCTTAAGAATCTAGTTTTTGAAAACGACAACATTTTTTTTGTACTCGACATCAACAAAATCACAAAACTGTTTTAGTTTCTCCACTCTGACTGTAAAAATATAGAAATGCTTAAAAATCTTGACCGCAATAACCTCGACGTCTATTGGTAAGACGTCCGTCGCATTTTGTAAACAGTTGTTAAAGATGTGTGCTACACAACCAATTCCAATGACGGGTTTGCCACGAGAAGCATTTAACTTGCTGAATAGATTATTCACTCCTTTTCTCCTCATTCCACCAAAATTTGTATTTGTGTTATCAGCAGACATTCCGATGCATTTTTGAAGTAGATTATGGTGATTCAAAGCACTGACCACGTAATCTTTCAACTGCTCTGATGTTTCTCCAGGTAAGTCACGCAGCTGAAGTAATTTTACTTGGATACCCTTTTCACCATCAAAATACCTTACCATTAAGGGCACAACTTTAATTTCTCGATGATTTGACGAATCGATCGTGATGCTAACAAAATTTGCTTTTCGAAGGTCAATTTCTAATTGGGACTGAGCTTCTTGAGCTAAAACATTTTTTACAATCGCCTCAGTCTTGGTTCGAGCTGCCGCAAATTTTGGTTCAAACACGTTTACAATTAGTTTTGACGTGCAGTCTAAGGATCTGAAGCTTTGCAAATGCTTAATTGTATGGTAAGCAAAAGTACCTTCCTTGGCAGCAATCAACATATCTTCAGAACTTGAACTGTTACTTTTAAGAAAAGTTTCCAATTTTCTGCTCTTCAAGTTTGCATTTGCAGCCAAAATGTGTTTCTTCTTGGTCAAATGTTGTTTGATATTACTGCGACCACTGTTAAAAATATCAACATCACTTCTGCAAACTTGGCAAAACACAATATGCGGTGAAACATTTGATTTTTGTTTCAAAAATGGATACTCTGCTTGCAACTCAGCGTTAAAATGGCATTTTCTTCGAGGCGGTGACATGATAAAATTGTTTACTTTTCCACACAGCACAAAAAAGTATAAGATACAAGAAAAACTGCCGGAATTTAACGTAAAGGTAAATAGACTAATCGACAGCAAGCCCAGAAGTAACTAATAAACATACGACGAGATACTAGCTGCGAAATGAAATAGACAGAGATGGGAGATGGACGTATCGGCTAAACTAGACGACGACCTGCGATCGGTTGCTGCTAGGGATGGGCGATTCTTCCACAAAAGATCGATTCTTGAATCAATTCAAATCATAATAATCATAGTTATATTTCGTTTTCACAAATAGTAGGACTAAATTTTGTGTAATTAAGAAAAAGAGTACATGTAGGTGTACTTCATAAATCGTAAAGTACAATAGGACAGCGTTTGAAAAGAAAGTACTGTCCTACTAAAAAAAGTACATATGGTCACCCTAGTTATAGGTGTACTTCCTGCATATGTCGACATTATACTCGTACATCATACAATAATTAAGAGGAATACCATGATATGATCAGATGGTCTACTTCCTGGACTGATTCTGGGTTGCCAATCATGACTAAGAGCTTATGTCGCAGTTTCATGCTTGTGAGAAATCATCAGTACTGTATGTGTATCGTTTTAGAGAGATGGAGGGTAGTCTTAGCTACTTAGTTAAGATCTTGATGTTATAGTGCAGTGGCGTAACGGTAGACGCTATGAGTCTACCAATAAGTTGCCGTGAGCTGAGTGGATTCGAATCCCGCCATAAGATAATCTTTTTTTGGCATAGGTGGAGGATGGTCTCAAACTGTCGAGCATGGATGCGGTAGATCTCTAAGCCAGAGGCAGGTAGGAAGTTTGTTCTTTGTTCAAACTTTCGAAAATGATGATTCTTTTAGTCACACTTCAGAGACGGTAGTATGATAATTCCAACCAGATGAAGTATCACCTTTAGCGTTGAACTCTTTTTTCGGGACGTGCATTCCAAAAGACGGAAAAAATGGTTATTAATTGAAGAAAATTAAAAACGCACATATTAAAATATTGATCCATGTTGAGAAAAATTTTCAAAGCTAAGATGGCGGTTACAGCCTGTTCGGACAGCAAGTCGAGATATCCGAAGTCGATAGCCAAATTGAGAAGACTGTACAGCTGTTAATAAATGATTATTACAGCGTTGTCAAGATCGATAGAAGGAGAAAAGACACCAATGCTATGTCTTGTCTTATAGACAACGGCACTGGTATTATGGATGTTGAAAAGTGACATTAGCTCGTTTTTTTGACATAACGTAGGTTTTATTTTGGACATAACACAGATTTTTCTACAAAATGCTAACTTAGTACTATCTGATGGACACTTGTTGTGAACTCAGTTCCTCGTTGTGCGTGCTGCTTAAATGTCAGGATGCTCCAACTATCGATGTTTGGCTCTGATGTGATGTAACACCTGCTTCAGAGAGGGCTAAGCTGTAAGTTGTTGAGATATAATACAAAAGGAGACGATATTGTCATATAAATTATGCTATCGATAAAGGGACCGGGGGGTGGAGCTTAGTCGCTTAACAATATGGCGGATTTGCCAGGATCGTATCTGTTTTTAATGTATGTATTTGATTTGATTGCACTTATGCCATACGTAAATGATATCATTTGCTACACTTATGTATTTAGAAAAAATCTATTTAATATACAGTGTGTCCACTTACTTCAACATTTGTGTTTTTTGACCGATTTTCATAAAGTTTTTTTTGTTGGATGGTCAAAAATGTCAGTTTGCGGATATTCAGGACCACCTAAAACATATGTTCATCAAATTTGGTTGTGATAGTATACTGTCAGTTGGAGTCAAATTTTTAGAGGTGCAATAGATTTCCTGATTAACTACGAGTTTTTTTTTAAATATTTTTTCTTATGGCATTATTCATACATCGCATCTTTTGAAAACCAAAATTGGTAAACTTATGTCTTAAGTGGTACTGAACAATAATCCGGTGTCATTTTTTTCAAATATCACTAATCGTACTTCTCGACTTTTGGCACGTGAAAATTGAATTCAGTAGACCGGGACGAAATTACATTTTTTTGTTGTTGAAAATATTAGGCCTAATAAAATCTATTAGATTCATGTCTAGTATCCAAATATTTTTAAGTAATTTAGTTTTTGCGTTCCCACATAAACAAAAATCAGGTTTGGAAATAATCTTTATTACATAGATTACAGATTAATTCATTACTGCCCTCTAAACAATACAAGCTTATTGCTATGATGTCTTATACTAACTGCTTGTGTTTGTAGAAGGGATGAGTCGAATGTCGGTCTTAATACTGTACTTGATAGTACTAGTATCTTGGCAGGTGGTGACTCTTCCTAAATTAAAACATTAACGCTCATTACTTCTAGACATTTATGAAACCTAGAATTTACATTAAAACATGCATTTAAGATGACATTATATCAAGGAAAACTACAAAAAGGACAAAAAACATAATAACTGTTTTGAATTAAGTATACAGATTTTAGGAAACAAACATGATTTTATTAACATACCTACCTGGTTTGGATGTATTGTCGGAACAGCGTTTGGTTTGAGATTAACATAACATTTTGATGTTCTATCGAATGACTCCTCAGAAAAATGTTTCGAGCAAATAACACTATACTATAACTATCTAAAACTGTAATGACTCATCGATGTTCACGTGAACATCACTTAACTACCAGTAGTCGGCTCTTCATAGGGGTATGAATGTTTATCATGGGTGAACTAGATTTGTCACATGCTTAATAAAGAGTGGTTTGAAACATATTGTAAGTCAAAAACTTGGGAATTACCTTTATTCATCGTTGCTTCCACTTACATCTGACAGTGATAAACTGTCGCTATCGCTTTCCTCGTTGAAATTGACTATAACTGGCTCTATGATGGTATCGATGTGGTGGTCAAGCTGCTACATTTCTGTTCCTTCCTTCACAACATGACGGATAGCATTCTGCCAAGCTTCGGGCATTACTAGCTGTATGGAAGTCTCAAGTAAAACCTTAACGTCTGGTAATTTGAAGGTTGTGTTATGGCGCGCAATATAACCCTTCACTTGAGCCCAGATGAGCTCTATTTGATTCAGTTCACAGTGGTAGGGCGGTAACCGCAGCACAGTGACACCACATTGACGGGCCATTTCATCAGTCACGTAACTAATGTTCGCAGGTTTGTGCTGTTTAATTTTTTCATACAATTCCACTTTCACACATGAATCGTCAAACGGGATTCCTTTTTCGCGCAACCATTGCTGCATGTCACTTTTTCGAGATCCCATAGTCGGTACACGTTCGGCTCGACGACTATGGTAGGAAGCATTATCCATGACGATCACAAAGTTGGGCTCAACTCGCTGAAGCACCCCTTGAAACCAGCTCTCGAAGCAGCTGGCATTCATTTCGTCATGGTAATCACCTCCTTTCTTAGAGACGAAAATCAAGTCACACTCTTCTAAAAAGCCACTATCGCTACCAATATGAGTTACGATCAATCTTTGACCTTTCCCTGACGGTCCACGAAGACCTGTTGACAAACCTTCAATGATGCTTGTCGGTAACTCACTACGTTTTTGTCTATGCAGGTTTTTTTAACTGTGTGACCTGCATTTACCCATGTCTCGTCCAAATAATAGATTTTTTTGCTTTGTCGCCTATATTCAATCATTTCGCGTAGGTATTTTCGACGCCAGGCGACTATTTCAGGTCTCTCTATCAATACTGACTTCCGATTACGCGTTTCGTAACGAAAATTAATTTCGTTTAGGGATTTCCTCATTACCTCGACGCTCATTTGGGGTATAATTTCATTTTCCTTGATCGCTGCATGTACAGCCTTGAGGGTTGGTATCTCATTCCTAAAGAAGAATGAATGTACGGTTCGCCTTAATGCCAGTTTGCTATCGTCATCCAATTTAACGGCCTTTCGTCCCTTCAAATTAAACTTTGGATCAGTAGTAGCTCCAGTTTTCTTCTTTTCATGCACCACCCTGCGAATGGTCCACTCTGGAACGCCTGTCATACTTTCACAACGCGCGAGTGCATCTCCCTGCGACATAGTTCTGTTCAGATAATTGAACACGTTGAGCACGATTTCTTTCGCGTCCCTCTTCAGTGCTTTACGAAGCCGTCTATTTGTTCCCTGGCTTTCAGTACTTCCACTCGTGCCATTTGTACTATCCATGGTTAAGTATAACCAAAACAGTAACCACAGAAATCACAACAATAACAATCACACAACAATTCTTATAAAAACACACAATATGCGATCGCTCAACGAAACACGTTCCTATGCGTTGCGGACGCCTATGAGTCTGCCGGTCGAGGCGCGTCTTTGATTTCATTGGTTCTACCGGCGGAGAACAATCAGCCATTATTTCCATCTCTGTCTGTGCAAAGCCACAGAAACGACATATGTCGTACGCTATATGGCTGTACTGGAAGGAAGCCGGGATCGAGCTCTGATCACGTCATTACAGTTTTAAATAGTTGTAGTATAGATCTTGTAGGTGCCATTCACCCCTATTAACAAATTTCACCCAAAGTTGGCAACGGTCAACGTTTTAATGAATATATTCAAAATAAAAATATTAGATGGCTCAACTCATGAAGATAAGTTTTCTTTAAGAAAATCAAGCACCTTGACATCCATTCTATGAAAATAATACAATCTCAAGACCTGCAGTTCAAAATTTAATTGATAAATTAGTATTTATATTTTTTCGATAAATTAGATATATTACGGGTAGTTTGGTTAGTTAGGTCAGCTTCACTGAGAGGTATTAGTAATAAGCCTAATAATTTTGGCAAACACGATTTTCTATAATAAACAATAAAGCCGAAATAAAATATATATACCTAGGTACGTAAGTTTTTCCTGTTGTATTATTTTTATCCACTTCAGTCCGACTTGCACAACTCGGTAGAACACACCATATTTGTGTAAACAGTATCACAAAAGCCTCTGAATTTCAAAAATAAGTACAATT